AAAAAAAAAAAAAAAACTAAAAGAAAATTATAATAATAAGATCCATTTATTGAGTGTGTGTGGATAAAAGGAAAAGATAGAAACAGCATCAGCCTAATCCCTACCTCCTACCACTTTCTCCCAGCCCTGGCCCTCCGGGGAGAAGACTTTTTTTCTTTTTTTTTTTTGAGTTGTAGTCGTACTCTGTCACCCAGGCTGGAGTACAGTGGCACACTCATAGCTACCCCAGCGTTGACCTGCTGGGCTCTGGTGATCCTTCCATCTCAGCCTTCCAAGTAGCCAGAACTACAGGTGCGTGCTACCATACCCGGCTAATTTTTGATTAATTACAGAGACGAGGTCTCACCAAGTTGCCCAGGCTGATCTTAAACCCGCGGGCTCAGGCAATCCACTCGCCTTGGTCTCCCAAAGTGCTGGGATTAGAGGCTGAATCACTGAAGACTTTTTTTTTTGACTTGGAGTCTCACTCTGTCACCCAGGCTGGAGTGCAGTGGTACACTCATGACCACCGCAGCCTTGACCTGCTGGGCTCAGGTGATCCTTCCACCTCAGCCTTCCAAGTAGCTGGAACTACAGGCACATGCCACCACGCCTGGCTAATTTTTTTTTTTTTTTTAATTTATTGTAGAGATGGGGTCTCACCAAGTGGCTCAGGCTGGTCTCAAACCCATGGGCTCAGGCAATCCTCTCACCTGGGCCTCCCAAAGTGCTGGGATTACAGGCGTGAGCCATCACACCTGGCCAGAAGACTTTTTTTTTTTTTTTAAGAGACTGTTTCAACTATGTTGCCCAGTCTGGTCTCCGACTCCAGGATTCAAGCAGTCCTCTGGCCTTGGCCTCCAAAAGTGTTGGGATTACAGGCATGAGCCACTGCCCTGGATCCCCAGGGAAAAAACTTAATCTATGTGGGCGGCACATTCTTCCCCCAGATTGGTTGGTGTGGTGTGATGGCTCCTCCTCCTGCCTGGCTTTGTACTGTGAAGGTTCTTGTCCCTTGTCTTTTCTTTTCCGGGGAAAGCCTGACCAGTGGGCTTGGGGCTTAGGGTGTCATCCTGGTTGGATGTGTATAGTACAAGTGCAGGCTCCCGTTGTTGTTCTCTCTGTTCACCACAAGCTATAGGCAACTTTCTCCTGGACTCGCTTCTCAAAAACTTCTTTCCTGCTAAGACCTGGATAATAAGAGAGGCCTAAGCACTATATCTACTTAGGAAGACCAATTAAATCAGTATGTCCTCCAGGGTAGCTTGTGTTGACCTGTCCATGGTTTTCTTTATTTTGTATATACTCTGAGCCCAAACACACTCATTCTCTGAATGCCGAACATCAGCATGACCTTGGGTGCCTTTGCATGGGGGACAATCGGCTCTAACACTGTGCAGAGGAAGTGGCCCGGATATGGGCTCCCATCTGTTCTACCTTTTATTCCAGCTGCTCAGTTTAGATAGTCGTAAGCAGCTTTAAGAAATTTTTTTAGAAATTTCCTTCTTTAAAAAAAAAAGTTTCATTGTGGTAAAATATACATAACTTAAAATTGACCATTTAAAAAAACTAGTTTTTTTTTTTTTTTTTTTTTTTGAGTTGGAGTCTCACCCTGTCACCCAGACTGAAGTGCAGTGGCCGCTCCCGGCCACCGCCGCCTCGCCTGCTGGGCTCCTAGTTTTAAATGTTCAGTTCTGTGGCATTAAATAGATTCATATTGTTGTGCAACCATTGCCACTTTCCAGCTCCAGAACTTCTTCGTCTTGCAAAAGTGAAACTTAGTATCTGTTCAGCAGTCACTTCCCATTCACCCGCCCCTTCCTTCTGCTTTCTGTCTCTGTGACTTTGCTCTAGGTCCTTCCCCTTACTAGCATCAAACAATATTTGTCCTTTAGTGAATGGCTTATTTCACTTAGCGTAATGTCTTCAAGTTTTATTCGTGTTATAGCATGTATCAGAATTTCCTCCCCTTTTATTTTTTTTACTTATTATTTTTATAGAGCTAGGGTCTTGCTGTGTTGCCCAGGCTGGTCTGGAACTCCTGGCCTCAAGTGATCCTCTCACCTCCTTCCTTTATAAGGCTGAATAATATTTCACTGTTTGGATGTACTACATTATTTTGTTTTTCCATT